TTTGTATATCTTTAAAATTATGACCTAAATAATCTGTTACAAAAACTTCTACGGAATATTAAAAAGCATGTATTCTGTAGCTGTTGGCTTGAATAATGTTTAGATATGTTTCATATCATTTGATCCGTGGTATAATTTACCTATAAAATATTGGGAAAGGTATCTGAATGATCTATCTGTTGAATAAAGCAGAGCACTGGAATCTCTCACGGTTACTGCATCAGGACTCATCTGTCCCTTTATGTCCATATTGCTTTTTATGAAATTAGGCATGCTAAAATTTGTTACATATATTTAAAATTATTAAATCTTCTTGCTAGATTATCCTCTTTATTTAGTAAGTAATGTCTTATTTTATGTCTTATGTCAAATTTTGGCATCCCATCTACAATTGCAAATACACATATCAATATTTGTGCCTGCTTTCAGTTTCCCTTGGAAATATGAAAGACATAAACAGGCTGAAAATAAAAGAATTGTATATATACATATAAATATATATTGTGTCTTTACTGGTGAGGTGTATTTATTGCAGGTAGTTATTAGTTGCAAACTTCTTTGCATCCAATCAGCAGAATGCATCTTCTATTTGCACAGTTATGACTTCTATGTAAAATAATTATTGAAATGTGTACTCATTCCTATGATTTTACTGGTTGAATACAGTTTGTGTTTTCTTTCTCTCTTACTGATGCTGAGAGTTTACACTTTATTGGGTTCAACGTGTTTGATACTTTTCTAATTGCTATTTTTCATCTCTTCCTTATGAAATGAGTCCTTTAGTCCCTGCGTTTGCATAAGGTTTTTCTAAATATCCTCAATGATAAGTAATTTAAGATGATGAATTACTTTGCTTTCTGAATATTTTGGAATACTTTGTATCTTCATAAGTTTGGAAGATAACTCTTGCATCCCACATTTCCATGACATAAACGTTTCTTCACCCAAGCCACCAGTTTTGTTTCTGCTTTGTGTAAATGATGAAAAGTGCTGGGTGTTTCTAATTCACCATCTGAATCCAAACTGTTATGAAATTACAATGACTTTGGGAAAGGACAATGAAACCAAAGATTGTAGCAATCATAGTTTGAAATCAAAAGATCACAGATCACTCACTCCCTTCTCGTAGAAGAGATTAACAAAATCACTGGAGATATTAGAGATTGTATACCCAAAAGCAACTCACGATTTGGGGTGACTCATGAGACCTATTCAGTACAGGATCACCAATCTTAGACACTGGACAAAGCTTTCAGCGAGAGTTGTGGTAGGCTGTAAGTGAGTTAGATGTTTGGAAGGCTGAAGAGTTCACAGAGTACAATAAACCAAGTCTGATTTACCTGATGTTTAATCAGGTGTCTTGGGAACAAATACTTAAAAATAAAAACTTTTTCAATGCAAAGCAAAGCCCATAGGGAAATGATGTAGTCAGGGTTGGAAATGGCAAGAGGGAAATATATGTAATGTACAGCGGTACAGATTTAAATACCTCCCCTGCCTTTGTCTCAGCAGGTGCAATATTGATGTGGGCAGGACATGCTTGCTTCCTTTAAGTCTCCATCTGTGTTGGGAACTGATGCTTGACCTCTTCTTCCTCTCTTGTCTGGAACTTATATTGAGTCCTTTATTAAATCATCCAAAGAGAAAATTGGATTTCCAATTAGAGTCATTTCATTCAGAAGCCCTACGCAGGTGAGTCCAAGGGCTCAGAGGTATAGCAGGAAAGGTTCTGAGATATCAAACGCTAGAACACTCAGCTAAGGTCACCTGAGAGCCAATCTAGCCTGGCCAAGAACTTAGAGTTGGCTGTGGCTGCTTGCTGACTTATTTGAATAATCGTTGATACATGCATTAATTCATTGATTAATTTAGCTTGTGTTCTGAAAAGAGACGTTAGCACTGAATTCCGGAATGCAAGGTTGGCTTTTGACAATGAAGTGATGGCAGCAGCAGCCATATATGAGAGGGACTGAGAGGAGGAGTTCAGTCTAAGTGGAGCCATGTCTAAGGAGCTTCTTAATAAACATTTTGGTAAAGAGAACTATTTCCTTAACTGAGGAGGGCCATGCAGCTAAGTAAGGATATTCCTTATTTCTGAGATGGAAGACCAGTTTAATTTGCTTATTTTTAACCAATCCCATCAATGTTTTGGTGAGATTTTTCAGTTTAGGATTGTTTTGTTTACTTTGGACTTGTATTTGGGGGACAAAAGTTTAGAATTTCATTTTGTGAAACTTGTCTCTCTTCTTATGACTGAGTTCATGGCTGCATTCCACTCATGAACTATATCTAGCTTTTGATGGTGCTTCAAAATGCACAGTTTATCTTCACAGAATTCTTTGCTTATTCTTTTTGTAACGTTAGAGGATTAGTATCATCTGACTCCAGGTTACTACTCACATATTCTAGCTTTAATTTATATATTTAAGATTATATGACTAAATTTAACTACAACATTATCCCACTGTGTTAAATTTCCAAATACCCTGAGGCATCAGTCCTAATTAATTTAACAAATAGTTACTGAGCATGAACCATGTGCCACAATGTTCAAGGAACATTACGATATGAATAACATACTGCCAATTCAGTTATCAATCTTGAAAATATTAAATTATAGGAATTACATATGTTCTTTCCCTTAATGTTAATGAACTATTTTGTTTAATAAAAATACTCTAGAACCTGACAATTTAACTTGACTTTATTCCTCTACCATTATTTTTATTTTACAATTTCTTCTTTTTATGGCTTATTCTATACAATACAAACAGATTTCCATAACTCTGTGAAAACAGAAATGAGAACAAAGCAGAAATCTACTCATTTGGGACTTTAATTAAAATTTTAATAAAGAACACAGTGTAATAAATGTGTAGATGATGTAATACCTGCAGGGAACATCCATATTCAGAATTTTATTTAGTGTAAAAGGGATAATTGTCATAGTTGGCACAGGATTTTATTTAACATGATCTAGGCAGGCTCTAAGTGCTTGACAAAGACCCCAGCCTCAGTGAGAATGTGCCTATTTAAATTATCCAATAAATCCTGAAAGCCCAAAGTAACACAGAAAACACACCATATGGGAAAAACAGAAGTCTCATCTGCTATTCTCCGTATGACAACCTGCTGGTATTTAGCTTTCTGTGTCTAGCTCATCCGACAAAATTGGAAATACCAATATTGGTTTACTGCAGAATCTAACATAATTTGAGTCACAAAAATTGAGTAGGAATAGCAGTTAGCAGAGGTTGGGAATAGGAAATCATAGGTGAGGAAAGCTGGATCAGTAAGTCATAGTAAGTAAGAAAAATACTTTCAGGAATGCCATTGCACAGTAGTGTGATTATAGTTAATACATTGTAAATCTCAAGGCACCTATAAGGGAACATTTTGAATGCATGAACCATGGGCATTCCTGGCTGTGGGCATGCTAACTATCCATATTTGATCATTATTATGTCATGTATAAATTATCACAAGCCAGGCCTTGTGGCACACACCTTTAATCCAGCACTCTGATGCAGATGCAGGTGGATCTTTGTGAGTTCAAGGCCAGCCTGGTCTACATAGTGAGTTCCAGGCCATCTGGGGCTACAGAGAGACCCTGTATCAAAAAGACCCCCCCCAAAAAAACCAAAACAAAACAATTATCACCTCTATCACATCACAGCCTACATTACAACATATCCTTTTAATATACGTAACTTAAAAAGGTGAAAACACGGTTAATCAAATCAATACTCAGTGGTGCAGGAAAAAGTTCTTGTATTTACCTATTCCTTTTGGATTTTTCCCAAATGGAAGTTCAACTTGTAAGCATGTGGGCACCAAATTGATGTAATAGTTTGTCTTTTGAGAAGTTCATTTTTGATGTTTTGTTATTTTTGTGAGTCAATGGGGATGTGATTGGGTTTGAAATATGTCCAGAATCAGGGAAGCTTTCCTTCCAGTCTCTCAGGGACCACTTAAACTAATTAGACAATAGTCCCTTCAGGGAAAAATTTTATTATCTGTATCTATCTGTCTTTGTTCATGGAGCTGATCTATTAATTCCATTTACAATAAGAAAAAAATCCAATGGAAAATATAATCTGAAGGTGATATGTTCGGAAGATTTACAAACTTTAATTCCTGATATCAATAGTACATTACTTGCAGAGAGAAATAATATGATAGTGATATCTTCCCTTGTTCGGTTCCTCTAACTAATTGGACAGGGTTAGATGAATTGGCCCTAGGAGTTCATGGCTTGTAAAGTGTGTTTAAGCACTGGGGGTGTATGCCTCTCTCTCTCTCTCTTTCTCTCTCTCTCTCTCTCCCCCTCTCTCTTTCTCTGGTGTGTGTGTATGTACATAAATGTGTTGACCTTTAGAGGTGTGATTAGATTTCAGAGAAAAGAGATAGGGTCACAATATATTCTGAAACTTAACCCAAAATTCAGGGTCCGGAAAATAAAGCCACACAAGGAAATAAACAGGGATGCATTTCAATTTTCACAGTTCCCTTAATAAAAGATAAATGCAAGAGACTCATAGTGTCTTGAAGCTTCAGCGGTAATGCGGCATTGTGTTTTTCAATGTTCTGACACCGGCTCTCATTCCTCCCCCTCTTGCTCATTCTCCAGTCACACTGGCTCCCTCTAGACCCTGGACACCTGAAACAAGCCACTTCCTCAGAGTCTTTGTGCTGAGTGTTCTTACTTCCATGCACATGCTGCTGCAGAAAACGCTGTGACTCTCAAGAGTCACGTAATTGTTATTCCTGCCTTGACACCCAGTGAAAAATAACTCTGCCTGCATACAAGCCCATAGCATGCTCATCTTTCTTGGTAACAGTTATCATCTGGCACGCGGTGTGATACTTATCCTGTACCTATTTATATTTGTTTTCATTTTCATGACTTATCACCCTCTCAGTAGGTTTTTGGAACATTACTCAATTTTCCTAGTGCTGGGGATGACATTTGCTGCATCAGCCCTCATCATTGTCCACACAGTGCCTGGAGCATTATCAGTATTACATTTATTTTCCAAGTATAATAAAGAATTCAGTTTTGTGGTACAAATCCTAATGGGAATAGAGTTAGAGTGAGATAGTAGCCCCAAACCACACAAGGGAATGCCCAAAAAGGTGCTAGACTCAAACAAAATGGGAATTACCATCCTAAGAGTAGAGTAAAAACTTGAGCTTTTTTGTAATGCTAATGTTGCATAAGTGCATAATTATTGTCTCCTTTTTGTTACACTTTAGCTATATGGAGCTTCAAAATGACACACATGTTTCAAAGTTTATTCTCCTGGGACTTTCACAGGATCCTCTATGGCAACCCTTTCTTTTTGGGCTGTTTTTGTTCATGTACCTGGTCACTCTGCTTGGAAACCTGCTCATTATTGTGGCCACAATTACAGATTCGCATCTGCACACACCCATGTACTTCTTCCTCTCCAACCTCTCCTTTGCTGACATCTGTTTCACCTCTACTAGCATCCCAAAGATGCTGGTAAATATACAGAAGCAGAGCAAGATGATAACATACGAAGGCTGTATCACCCAGATATATTTTTTCATATCGTTTGGAATCCTGGACAACTTTCTTCTAGCTGTGATGGCCTATGACAGATACGTGGCCATCTGTCACCCCCTGCACTACACAGTTATCATGAACCACCGCCTCTGTGGATTGCTGGTCCTGGGGTCCTGGGTCACAACTGCTTTGAATTCCTTGTTACAATGCTCAATGGCACTACGGCTGGCCTTCTGTACAGACTTGGAAATCCCCCACTTTGTTTGTGAGTATAATCAACTGGTACTTCTTGCCTGTAATGACACCTTTCCTAATGTCATAGAGATGTATTTTGCAGCTGTGCTTCTGGCTGGTGGTCCCCTTGCTGGCATCCTTTACTCTTATTCTAAGATAGTCTCCTCCATACGTGCAATGTCATCATCACAGGGGAAGTACAAAGCATTTTCCACCTGTGCATCTCACCTCTCAGTCGTTTCATTATTTTATTGTACACTCCTGGGCGTGTACCTTAGTTCTGCTGTTACCCAAAACTCACAGTCAACTGCACGAGCCTCTGTGATGTACAGTGTGGTCACTCCTATGTTGAATCCCTTCATCTACAGTCTGAGGAACAAGGACCTAATGGGAGCTCTAAGAAAACTCTTCAGAAAGAAGCCATGAAAGAGACATTTATTAAGACGTTCCTGTGTGCCCGTGGATGAGCTCACACCGAGGGACATCTAGGGACAAAAATATGGCTTGATAGGCCTTAACATATATGACAGAATGCATGAAATCCAGTCGGGGGTGGTGGTGCTGGGGGATGCAGATAAGGGAGGGCTGTAATATGATTAAAATGTGTTGTATGAAATGCACAAAAATTTAATTAAAAACACTTAAAAAAATCCTGTGATCCAGTTGACAGATCCAGACATTACAAGGCTCTAATACAATAATTAAGAGAATTTTCTCTTTCCATTCATTTCCTGGAATTTTAATTCCTTTCAACAGCATTACTGATTTTATGTAACCTCATTAGTAAGAATTCTGTTCTCTGATAGTCAATATTTTCCATTTCATGTTCCTATCTTCCAGCATTCTTTCTAGTATCATATCAGAAGAACTTTGGAAGATGCTCCTTCATCTTATATCTGTATGAGTTGTGTTAATGCTATGGAATAAACTACACATGATATCTGAGGCCCCTAATGCAATTTTAATATAAAAGAAATTCTGGACACGTCTCCCAATTTTCTGTCCACCTTTCTTTCTCTGTTGCTACTTTACCACTTCTTACAATGTAGACTTCAGCACAGTAGTACTTTGATGTTTGGTTGTATGAGTTTATTATCATTTTCATTTCATTTTTTATGTTCTGAAATATCTTCACTGCTCATGAGCAGAGAATGGCTTGCACAAGAACTTGAATCCTTTCTATACTCACCTGTAGTCCTGAGGAGGGGCAGAAGGTATTCCTGAACAAACACTATCCTGATTTCCCCAGGATAGCTGGAATAGAACTCCAACAATGGTCATTTTTTAGAGTAGTTGTATGAAATAAATATGAATGATTGGATAATTATGAATAGAATCTTCAACTATTGGAAAAATGCCAAATGTAAGAAACCATATATTACTCAGAATTTATTTATTTTGGTTTGCTTTGGTTATGGTGTCAGTGAGTCATCTACAAATAAATGAATCAAAATAATGTTTTCCTATTTTTATTACATAGATATCCACATTGGGAAGTATCCTATTTTTCCTGGTCTCCCGATTTGACTATAGTCAGGTCTGAGTCAGCTGGGCTTGCTCTATTAGTCTTCATTGAAATTTTTCAGATTTCAGGGCATGTCAGCCCTAGGCTGGTGGAGGGTTACCTGGGTTGGATTAACTCGCAATGCTCCACACATGTTCTCATCTTACTGCAGCACACTTTGAATCTGGTCACGTGGTACAGGCAACATTGCAACAGAGAGTAAGTAGATGGACACAGAGGTCCTTGAATCATACCATTACTTTCAGCAAAATCTACAAAGAAAATAAAACTACTTAAGGCCAGATGAACTTCAAAAGTGGACAAATGTACTCCATGGAAGGAATATTATATCTACATTGGAAAAGTTAAGGATAGATAAATGTGTGCGAATTGAAGCATCTGTAAAAATGGCCCAACATAAGTATTATTTAGAATTTAGGGAATTCTTATTGGGCATTTCAAAACTAAAATTTTAAGTAATATTTTATTGAGTATTTTGTATAATGCATATTAATAATATTCAGACATATCTCCCCAATCTCCTCTCAGAGCTCCCTCGTCCACCTCTATCCCCAATCACTTCATTTACTCCATGAGTTTTACAGCTTATTGAGACTAATTTATGTTCCTCATCCCCTGAAGCCTGGCAAACTTGCTCAGTGTCACACCCTTCAAGGACTGAATCCCTTTAACCAATAGCTAGAAGAAGCCAAAAATTCCTCAAGTAGAGCTAGAACATCTTAACCAACTCCCACCTCCATGCTGAGTGTTTGTATACGCATTTGTGCGACTTCCCTGTTGTGCCTGGAAATACTACTTTAATTTATTTATCCACTACTTTGAGCTCTTAAAACCTTTCCATTCTCGTTCTACCAAAGCAGCAAAGAATACACTTTCTATTCAGCATCCCATGGAACTTTCTCAAAAATTGACCACACACTGGTGCACAAAACAAACGTCAACAAATACAAAAAAATGTGAAATAATTCCATGCACTCTATCAGACCACAACACAATAAAGCTTAAAATCAAACCAGAAGAAGCCCTAGTAACTACACAAACTCATGGAGATTAAACAACACACTCCTCAATGCTGAGTGGGTCAAAGGAGAAATTAAGAAAGAAGTAAAAGTATTCCTGGAATTCAACAAAAAGGACAATACATTGCTGCTAGATGCGGAACAGCTGACCTTCCTAAAGAAGGCTGACTACATTCACCAGGTGGACAAGTAGTGGGGAATGGCTGGGGGTGCCGACAACACAGTGGACAGTAGCAGGGATATCAGAGTATAAGGGCTCTAGTGGGGGGAGGGAGGCTATGGGAGGGTGCCAACTGGGAAGTGGGTGTATAGTTAAGTAATATGGTTTGGGATGTTCTGGGTGATATACATACACACACAAAAAAATCAACAAATTAAAAACATTATGTTTGAAGAGGAAGCATAAAATTTTACATTATGTTAATTAGTATAGGTGATAAGCATTACCACTGAAACCTACCCAATGACTTTATAGACATACACAGGTGCCAAGGATCCGAGTGCAACCAATTATGACTAGTAATAATCAGATACAGATTAGAGACCCATGCACCAACATCCCAGTGTTATTAGCAAAAAGAGTAAGCATGTAGGGAACAGCTTATTTAAAAATGAAATGGAGATCTTTTTTAAAGGGTAAAAACTCATTCAATTTTATATCTTACACGGCTTATACTGAGTTCAATATTGTATTACTGTATTAATTCAACAGGAAAACTACAAATTTTATAGCCACTTTTGAAAGAGCTGTATCTTTGCTCTGGAAACTATTATTGAGCATATTAAAGCTGTAACGATATGCTTCTTCTAAAAAAATATTAAAAATGTAGGAAACAGTACGTTTTAAAATGAAATGGAGATCTCCTTTAAAGGGTAAAAACTCATTCAATTTTATATCTTATAGGGTTTATACTGAGGTCAATATTGTATAACTGTATTAATTCAACTGTGAAGCTAAAAATTTATAGCCACTTTTGAAAGAGATGTATCCTTGCTCTGGAGTGTGTTACTGAATATAAAAATATAAAAATTTTCTCCTTAGTAATTAGTAGATGTGAAAATCTACCTGATGACTTTATATCCATGTTCAGATGCCAAGGAGCTCAGAAAGTAACCACTGAGACTAGTAATAGATATATAGAGATTAGAAATGCATGTGCATCTTAGTGTCAATTGTATTGAAAATGATTTTTTCTGTATGAAACTATGTATTTTATTATTTATTTATTCATTTATTTATTTCATAACCACATGATTAGAAGAAGCATTTCATTACAGCATTAACATATTCAATAACAATTTCCAGAGCAAAGACTTTCAATATTGGCTCTAAATTTTTAGGTTCACATTTGAACTAATACAGTTATACATTATTGTACTCGGTATAAACCAAATTATTATTGAATATGTCAATGCTGTTGTAATGAAATGCTTCTTCTAATTATGTGGTTATTAAATAAATAATTTTAAAAAATTTGATGGAAAAAAGGACAATACAACACAACAAAACCTCTGGGACACTTTAAAAGCAGTCCTCTGAGGGAAGTCCTTTGTAGATCTAAGTGCCTACATTTAAAAAAATTAGAAACAGCACAAATAAATGACTTAACATTGCAACTCGAGACTCTGGGAAGGGTCTCAAGACAAGAAAAAATAAAAAAATCAGAGCAGAAATCAATAAAATAGAAACAAGTAAATCAATACAAAGAACCAATGAATTTAAGAGCTTTGAAAAGCTAAACAAGATAGACAGACCCTTAGCCCAGTTAACCCAAAGAAAGATAGAGCAACTCCAAATCAACAAAATCAGAGATGAAAGGGGAAACATCAAAACAGATACCCAAAGATCCAGAACATTATAAGGGACTACTTTGAAAACATATACCATATTAAATTTGAAAACCTAGAAGAAATGGATGGATATCCAAAAGCATGGGGACCACCAAAGTTAAACCAAGAAGAGATCAACAGCTTAAACTAACCCATAGCATATAAGGAAATCAAAACAGTAATACAAAACCTCCTGAATAAAAAAAGCCCAGGCCCAGATGGACATAGAGCAGATTTCTACCAGACATTTAAAGAAGATCTCCAACCAATACTGCTTAAATTATTTAAAAAAGATAGAAAAAGAGGGAGAACTCCCAAATTCCTTCTACGAAGCCAGCATCACACTAACACCAAACCCAGGTAAGGACATAATCAAAAAAGAAAACTGTATACCCATATCCTTAATGAACATAGATGTGAAATTCTCAAAAAATATTTGCAAAATGCATACAGATGTACATCAAAAAGATCATTCACCATGATCAAGTATGCTTTATTCCAGAGATGCAGGGATGGTTCGATATGTGTAAGTCAATAAAGGTAAAAAATCATATAGACTGAAAGACAAAAACCACATGGTCATTTCAATAGATGTGAAGAATTCCTTCAACAAACAATTCAGCATGCATTCATGATAAAAGTCCTAAAGGGAATTGGATTGGAAGGAATATACTTCAACATAATTAAAGTTATATACAACAAATCCACATCCAACGTCAAAAAACTGGAAGCATTCCCATTAAATTCAGGAACCAGACAAGGATGTCCACTATCTCCACTCCTTTTCAATATAGTGCTTGAAACTTTTGCTAAAGCAATAAGACAAATGAAGGAAATTAAATTAGTGTGAATTGAAAAAGAAGAGGTCAAACTGTCCCTGTTTGCAGATGATATGTCCATACTTAAGAGATCCCAAAAATTCCACCAGAAAACTTCTAGAACTGAGCAATACTTTTGGTAAAGTGGCAGGTTACAAAGTTAATCTACAAAAGTCAGTAGCCTTTCTATACACCAATAACAAGCAATCAGAAAAGAGTACAGGGGAATCTCCCCATTCACAATAGCCTAAAAAATATCTTGGAATAAACCTGACCAAAGATATCAAAGATCTCT